TCGTGCCTCTTTAAAGAAAACTACTTGGCCTGCAACTCTAAAAAGAGAGCGAGAACGCGGCGCCGAAACCACAGAGGAAATATTATCGGATACAGGTAATCAGAAATGTTTTGAGTGTTTAGATCTGTGATGATTCATCTGGAATTACCCAGCCTTTGTGCGTGACTTTGACTGTGTGATATTTAAAAGCATCCCCCCACAGCGCGATTTAGCACCGGTTTAGTGTTGATGTCACATTTTTATATTTCCTAATTCCCCGGTGTGGATTAAAACTTACCCACAGCTGCGATCTCCCCACAGTTTGACCTGATTTTTTTCTTCTTTTTTCCATTTATTTACGTTGTCAGCTGCTATTAGTATTTTCCGCTCAGGATGGAGATGAAGCTATATTTTAGCCCCTTCCATGCTGCGTGTGTTTACACCGGCGCCGTGTAATAAGTGGGAATAAACCAATTATGGCGCTTTCTCGGAACCTCAGTTGATGCGTGCACTTCTCTGCCACTCTGCCCGTGTGGAATAGTTCATCATCAGAGTGTGGGGCTTGAAGAAGACACACTCAGTACGATGCTCCATCCTCTGCTCCGTCCTCTAGTTTCACCTTCCTGTCTCCAGGAATAAATTTGCTCGTTTACTGTACCACGTCCCACCCTTTCTAGTAAATTGAGATATGTGTGCAGAGTTTGTATTATTAGAAAGGTAGAGCAGCAGGAGTCCTGCGTGTGTTTGTGTGTGGACAGATGGATGGATGGAGTGAGTGTGATTGCGAGAAAGAGAGAAAGGCAAAGGGAAGGATGGAGGGAGGGGTTGACCATTTGATCCTCTGCAGCAAAAAACAGAGATGCTCTCTTCAAATGTCAGCCGCCTTTAGTAGTGCGCAGATGAAAAAAAAAGTCCTCAGAAGCGCACTGAAAATAGACGCCGGGGAGGGGAGCCTCGAGTGGCACGTTTCACTGGATCTTTTCGGACTGTGGCACGGTGCAGAAAGCGAGCCCGTGCGTCTGTGCTGTTGTTGTTTTTTTCTTGTTTTTTATCCCTCACACCCCCCACTCCCTTCTCTTGCTCACCCCACCTTCTTGCCTTGCTTAGATGGCCGCGTGATGTGTGCGCCTCGCGGCTTGTCAAAGCACCCGCGTCCTAAGATGGAGGAAAGAGATGGGGCTGCCGATGATGGTGATACACAGAGTGTTATGTCACCCGCTCTTTAAGTTTTTCCCCACTCCACTGTAGCAGTAGTAACCTCAGAAGAGAGTGGGAGAAACTTGAGCTGCCCGTCAGGAAAGCTTTCGGCGTTACTTTGCTTCCTGGTTTTCGCCGTTGGAAACGCGGACTTTAAACGGCAGAATGTCTCCGCTGCTTTTAAATATCTGCGGCTTTAAAATAGTTTTTACAATCTTCCACTGGAGTTGGTTAAATCTCATTTAAATGCATGGAAAAAGCATCCGCAGGCCTATTGTTTGGCTTAATGTAGAATAAATACCGAGCCACACATGTAACGCATCCTAGGCAGAAAAGATAAAACACCTATTGTTTTTCTTCTGTTTACGTTTCCAGTGAAATGTAGCCTAGTTTTGGAGGGGGATTACCGAATTAGGTTATTGGTGCCTTATGCTGCTACAGCAGCGTATAGAGCTGCGTGTAGCAGCCTCTGATATGACCTGCTCCTGTGTGTGTGTGTGTGTGTGTGTGTGTGTGTTTGTAGTTACTGTGATAGGAGGAAACCTCGCTATTTATGAAGGGTTGAATAGGCGATGGTGAGGACAGCAGGTGCCGGAGGAGGGAGCGCAATAAACGCACTGGAGGAGCAGCTGGGGCCAAATTGCACCCTCGTCATTCAAAGCCTATCAGAAATCTAAGCCATACAAGCAAAGGTCAGGGTTGGCCCTGGCTTTCAGTAGAGAGGAAGCATTTCAACTGAAAGGCTGGAAATAATGAATTTCATGCCTGCATTGAAATGGGAAATAAATAAAAAAGAAAAGTGAAAATTAATTAAAAAAGCAAGACAAAAGTGCACAGATTCTTCGAGAGAGGAACGCAACTTGGAGAAGTGTTTGGAAAACGGAGAGGTACAGATTTTCAGGTGTGCGGCTCAGTTTAGTCTTAGAAGCAGCGGTTTGTGTCATTTTCTCAGAGGTCAAGGTGACCCTCAGGGGAGCTCCCCCCTCCTAAAAGCTGGTTGCCATGGTGCTGTTGCCTTTCCATCCAATCCCCATCACTAAACTGATAGTAGCATCTTGCAAGCTGCCCCTCTTTTAGTCACCTTTCCTGTTTAATTTGCCCTTCAAGCTAGGATCTTTAAATCACAAATTTGCTTTTCACACCTGCCTCATAATCTGGAAACTCTCCTTTCTTTTGTGCTTTGACACAAAGAAACCAACAGAGTAACATGAAACCACCCCGCCGGTGCACAACTTTTGATTTCTCGCTCCCGTCTGCTCAGCTCGCTGTAATCACACTAAGTTGTCTCTAAATCCTGCTTAACAGGGGGCCAGGGGTGTACAGCTGGCCCCAGCGCTGTACACACACTAATGCTGTTACAGACAGTTCACCCTCGTATTTAATCTAACTATGGATTTAGGCCTCTTTGCTCTATTGTCCCAGTACAGTAAGCCGTAGTCCTGTAATGGTATTACTTCAGCCTAAACTTTGTTTTCAGGTAAAAGGTTTTCTTTTTTGGATCAGGTATTGATTCTTATCATTTATTTTCTTTCTGTGCAGATAACTGGCAAATCTGCCCCTCAATAACAAAAAAACCCAAGCTAAAAACCCATTCATTTTGCATTCACTCCCACCTACTGTCTCACTTCTGATTAACCAAACGTCCCCGGTGAATGGCTAATTGTCTCATACTCCTCCAACTTTTGCTGTAAAATAATGAGCTGTGAGTCTTTTAGGTGGAGAAAGAGCAGCATGTGATCAAAGAATCAGAGAGAGCAGATCCTGAGCATGCGAGGTTCAAATTAGTTTTCTAATTTCCTTTTTTTTGTTCTAAATTTAACACAAGATGCCAAAGAAGGGTTAATTCTGACACCTCTTTCTGTGATGAATCACTTCAGCTTTGGTTCCAGCTGTATTTTCTCTCTCTGTGTGTGTGTGTGTGTGTGTGTGTGTGTGTGTGTGCAGCACGAGGTCAGGACTAAGCAGAGTGAACGGGGGGCTGCTGACACACGGCCCCAGGCTATGTGTCCTAATAGAGTGCTGTTATATGTTTGGCATTTAGGAAGGGCTCTCAGCTCCTTGGCCCCAAAACTAACAATACAGGATGGATGCTCACTTCACTTCACTTTAAAAGGAAGGAGAAAGACCAGAGAGGAAGCAAAATAGGCATGGGAGTTTGCCTACTTGTGTGTGTATGTGTTTGTGTGGAGATAGCTGAGACAGAGATAGAGATGCAGACCTAAAGTATTGCTGCTGTAATCACTTTTTCACTCTGGGGTGGGGTGGTGGTGAAAGTTGATAAACAAGCATTTTGTAAATGGCTGAGCTTTGGTGTGTCAGGGTGTGTGTGTGTTGGGAAAGGGGAGGGGGTGTTCAAGGGGTCTGCTTCAGGACCCCTTGGATGCGGACACACAGCCTTTTGTTGTCTCGTCCACCATTGCTCTCACTGCTTTTAGTGCGCCACTCTCACTCACGGGTTCACGCACAGGACAGTCAAGCATGGAAATAAAGAATAAAAAAACTTAAGAGAAATGAAAAGGTAGGGATGCAGTCAATAAAGGCCGAGGATTTGTTCAGAGAGCTTTAGGTTTTGTTGCCTCAGAAGACTGCTGGAGGTTATTTGTAAGAGCTGCATTAGTTATTTAAAAACATTCTATCTTGAATTCCCACCACAAATTCTGAGTTCTGGGCATGATTGCTCTCAAGCACCACTGCAGCTTCCATTTACATTTTCAACAGAGTGGCCCAAATGCCTGGTCATACAGTCAGTCTAAGCTGAAGGACGCTTTCTCTTTCAGAGTGTTCTGTGTAACCAAGGTGAAAGCTAAAGGTTATATATATATATATATATATATATATATAGTATATATATATATATATATATATATATATATATATATATATATATATGTGTATATTACTATATATATATATATGTATATACTTAAGTATATATATATATATATAGTAGTTATGTGTGTATCTCAAAAAGGATCAGATTTCACTGTACCAGCTCAGCAGTGCTTGAAAACCGAGTGGGAGAAAGAGACAGAGCTGAAGCGACACGAGTTGCAAAGTTCAGCCTTGAGCACTCCCAGAAAAAAGAAAAATCTACACTTTATTTCCCCACCTGATCTTGAAACTACGTCTCTGTTTTGTATTTAACACCTGCACTGGCATCACTATGAGCACAAAGGGATTTGTAATACTGTGTTTGTCTCAGGCCGTCATCACAAAGATAAACTGAAGAGCTATTACCTTGATGAAAAAAGAGTGAGGGGGGGAGGAAGAAGAGCAGTTTGATTTATGTGCGATTCATTATATGCTAGCCATTCTTCAACCTCTCTCCCCTGACATTGCTCCCCAGCACCACCACCATCACCACTACCACCACCCCGTTTCTTCATATATACGCTCCCTGAAAAACTTGATAAAAATGCACAAATTTGATTGATTCTAATAGTAGACTGACAGGGATCCCAGCTGGGGCACTTAACTGTGCCTCTGTGTGTGTGTGTGTGTGTGTGTGTGTGTGTGTGTGTGTGTGTGTGTGTGTGTGTGTGTGTGCGCGTGCGCCCACGAGATGCATACATACTTGTCTTTTAGTTAATAAAGGATCGTCTGCAGCACGCTTGAGTGCCCCAGCATTCCCTCAAAGTAAAACCCCCACCCTCTTCTCTCTTCCTCTAACCACACACTGCCCATCTACTGGCGCTGATGATTTCACATGACAACTCTCTCTCTTTTTCCCTTCTTTTTCTTTCTCCCAAATCTGTCCCCTCTCCTAACCCATCCCTTTCTCTTGCCCCACCTCTTGCTCTTGTTTCTTCCTTTTCTACCAACAGAAAATGAGTTTCGGGGTGAGCTGGTGAACCAGCGGTGGACACGAGGCGAGAGGACCAGCAGCCGCTGTCAGGCCTCCCAGAGACTGCAGAGCCGTCGACCAATCATGGTGAGTGACAACACAGCCCCCTTGTACATCCCCACCCGCTTCATCACTCGCCACCACACCCCTTTCCAATCTGATTCTGCTTCCTGAGCATTTCCCTCCAATCCCCAACTCAGCAGGGGAAAGTCAAAAAGGGTGGAGGCAGATGGAGCAGAGGGCAATAAAGCAGGCTGTGTATATGTATGTGTGTGTGTGTGTCTTAGGGTGCAGGGTATTTTAGACAGCCATGCAGGACAGAAAAAACGTGAATCAAACAGCACATCAAATCTCCCGCTTGGCCCTGCCCATCTTTTGCCTCGGCCCCACTCAGCTTAGTTAAGCTCAGCGTGGCACAGCTCAGCGTTTTCCTGCTACTGCTGAGTTCACTTCACAGGGTTTTTTTTCCTATTGAAACACAATAAAAAAAGAAACTCAAAAGGATGTCCTTGAGCTGCTCATACTTTTTTTAAATGCATGATATTCTGCCTTATCAGCAGAGGAGAAAAATGCTCCCTTCCACCAACACCTCTTTTCTTCTCTTTAACCTGCTCTGCCGTGTCTAAAACTTCTGACCTGCTTTGCCATCCTTTCAAGGAGGTTTCTCCATTGTGAAAACAACAGTCTGACAGTCCTCTCTGAGATTTTCAGACACAGCCCAAATAAATTCCGGCAAGGACTCCCATTCTCAAAGCAACTCTGAACAAGGAAGGGACTAAAACGTTTACATTTTGAAACTGATAGCCACTGTGACATCACTGATGGGTTTTGGACCTGCTGTCGTAGTTTCCTGGAGCCAGAGGTAAATGAATTTGGACGAGAGGTTGAAGTTATTAGCTAGAAAGCCTGGTTTGAAAGCAGCATCTATCTTTGTGACTGAAAAGCACAGACCCACACGTGAAGCAAAACTGTTGCTATTAATTGCTTATTTTGCACAGAGCCCCCTTCCCGATTTCTTATTCAAATCGCAGTTTTTATATCCCGATTTCATTTATTAATGGAAGAAAGCTATCCAAACCTTCCTGGTGCTGTATGGAAAAGCGATTGCCCCCTAAACCTAATAACTGGTTGGGCCACCCTTGACAGCAAAAACTGCACTCAAGCATCTGCGCTAACTGGCAATTGTCTTTCACTCCACTGCGGAGAAATTTTGGAGTGCTCTTCTTTGATGCCAAGGCATCTCAATTGGATTTAAGGCCAGACCTTGACTTGACCACCTCTTAACCTTTCAGAGGTGGACTTGCTGTGTATTTTGGATTGTTGCTCTACTGCATAAGTCAGGTGTACTTGAGCTTCAGGGCAGACTTTAGAATTTTCTGGTAGAGAGCAGAATTCATGGTTCTATCAATTATGGTAAATCACAGCGGTTCTGAATCAGCAAAACAGCCTCACAGCATCATACTACCACCACCATGTTTGACTGTTGGCATAATGTTCTTCTTATGAAATGCTGACACAAGCCTTCAATAAGATCATGTTATCAGTTATAGGGGACATTAGTCACTGATATTGCATTTGCTTTGACCCCAGGTGCTCCTGCTGCTCAGCACTTTGTCTTGCTGCCGTTTTGTCCTTTTGAAAAACTCCCGAGTCTCTTTAAAGCCCCTTTTTGTGCTTCTAGTAATTTTCTGCTTTGGAAGCTCTTTTGAAAAAGATGCTTTTGAAATAATTTTTACCTTAACTGGGTTTTAGTCTTTGAGGGGAAATACCTAGAAAATGTCATAATTCTAAGAATTCTACTTTCATCATTAAGACCAACTTTTAGTTTTTTCTTTGCACTGCAAATGAGAGCGACAATTAGATGGAACGAGATGGAAGAGAGTTTGAAGGAGAGAGGAGCGGGGGTTGTTTCCCCCTGGGCCCAGTAAAAGTAGTTTTGCTTCCCCCCTGATGGCTAGGGTTCATCTAAAGTGATGACTTTTATTGATTTGGTTTGATTTCTGCTACTGAAGGAGTGACAGAGAGGAGGAGAAGAGAGATGTGCTGCTTTCAAACACTACATCACGTGAAGAGGCCTCTGCCACTTATGATACCTTCTTATTGTCTTTTTTGACTTGCAGTAGAGATAGATGAAACAGACTGAGCATTAGCACCGAAAAGATGTTTAGTTACAAACCTTGAAATCATTCGAGGATGACTCACACTGTAAATTGCAAACCTTTGACAGCAGCTGACCCATTATGCAGTCAGACATGCTCAGTCTTCTCGCGTGCTCCTTCCTCCCTGAATCATTAAAGTGGAGTTGTCAAGGGGCTCGACGTGCGATGGTCCAACATGGAGGCCATGCAGAGGGAACTGTAGGCCCGCCTCTAATTGGCAGCTTCAGGTGATTTTTGGAGATGTCAGTCTTCTCTGTCAGTTGCAAATGCTTTTCTCCAACTCCTCTCCCTGTGTCGCAACCCCCCACCTTAACCCCCTCCTTTCCTCATCTACTCTTGTAAACCTGAAAATGAATAAAAGAGTCATTTATGTGCACCAGGGGACAGAGGATGACCTTCTCTCTGAAGTCATTGCCCCCAGCCAGCCATTTACATAGAGCTGTCAGAATGCAGAGCTGAGCTGAGGTCCTCCTGCACACAAAGAAGGACATAATTGATAATGTATAACACAGCCTGTAGGGAAGAGCCTTCCTCCTCCTCTTCCTCCACCTCTTCTTTTCTCCTTCTTCTGCTGCCACATTTCATCATTTCATACTAGTTAAACCCCACATCGCACACGCGCATATTGCCGCACACTCACAGCCTGACACACTATCTCCTTCTTTTTCATTCTCTGCCTTTCTCTGTTGTGCATAAGACATTACTGGTACTGTGTAGGTCCACCTACATAGGTGCAATGTTCAAGGAGTCTAATTAAAAGAAAGCAAGGTAAAGGACAAGTTTTGAACATACCTTTAAAAAGGACCTTTTGAAAATGATTATAAAAATCAGGTGAATGCTTGCCTGGCTGCATCTGGATTCATTTGCAGTGACTTTGTGTTCATACAAATTTAATGAGCTGGAATTGAGAAAAAGGACAGGAAAGAGGGGAGAGCTCAGATGTGCTTACCTATTTAAATGTGCGTAGCTATGGTTACACAAACATGAAAGCAATGGGAGCCCTTTTCAGTCCAGGTTTTGATTCATCCAATGCCTATCAATATAGGGAGGAGGGAAAGGAAAGAGGGGGGAGAACTACAGGGGTAAGAGAATAGTATATCATCTTTTCATGAAGGAGGAATGTGTAGTTCAGTCTCATATGCACATATTCTGTATCGCATCTTCCCAGACATCTTCTTTCCTTTCCAATAAAACCCAGTCACATAAAACATAGATCACATAGATCTGTTTTCATATGTTAGCCTTTGATTCTTTGATGCATCTACTAAATCTCTTAATCACATTTAAATATAACTTTACCTTTTGTAACTGTGAAAATCTAAATTGATTTAGAGGTTAAACATTTATTAGAAAGCTCTTTTTGTGTTTCATGTCTTCTATTTTTTCTCCAAATTGCTGCCTTGCAAACTGTCTGGCCACTCTGCTTCACCGGTAGAAAAAGTAATCATATCATATTGGTTAAGTAAAAGTAGCAATAAGAGCTGAAACGAGGAATTGATTTTTCAATTAGCCTTGTTGTTCAAAGGAAAAGGAGTCTGCAGCTGTTTTGATGACTGATTAATCTTTTCAGTCAATTTTCAAGCCAAATCAATTTCTTGTCATGTATGTTAGCAAACTTGGGTGTGGATAAATAAACTATTTTAGTTTGACAGTTGGGGCTTTGGGAAAGCCATTTAATTAAATTATAGGTATGGGTGTTAATATTACAAGGTTATATGCTGTATCAGTAATAAAATCTAAAATACCAACAAGAAAAAGTTGTGTTCATACAAGTATACAAGCTGGTTATTATGAGCAAAATATATTTCTGCTCCACCACTTTTCTCTTTGAGGTATCGTACTATATGTCTTAACTTTTAGCTGTTTTATCTCTTTAGCCATTACTTCTACCTAATATTTACATTCATTTTCAGATTCACTTATCTATTACTTTTACTTTTTTATTTAAAATACTGAGCTAAAGTTTTTAATGTTTAGGCTTGAGGGCTCACCTGGTTATTGCATTTTCTCAGCACATGCTGTTTAGCTGTTTAGTTGTTTTAATATATGACATTCATTGCTATTGATAATATTAATTTGTGCTTAATATTTCAAATTAGACAAGCCATTCCACATTTTTTCTAAATCTAGTGGGGTTAGATGAACAGTATTCTCTTTGAAACAGAATGAGAAGGAGGAAAACCCCCCCAAAACAACAACTCCGAAACATGCACATGAAGTACAGGAAGCTTGCAAATCTATTTCTTATATTCCATGTCTGCGCTTCCATTCTAACAAGTGCAGACAATTGAGTGTAAGGAAATGGATTTGAGCTATATGCAGGCAGGCACGCACTTGTGTAGGCTAAAAGAGCATACACACATGACCGAGAAGTCATTACTGCACACTCATCCGCTCCTCTTCCCACACAGCACTGAGAGTGGAGCACAGAAGGAGTCAACTGCTCCCTTCAGGCAGGGCACAAAGCTGGTGCTTGTTGCATGACTTCTACACTAAGCGCTTGATCAAAAGAGCTGAAGCCAGAGTGGCAAGAGACAGTCTGTGTGTGTGTGTGTGCGTGCATGTGTGTGTGTGAGGGAGCGAGAGGGAGAGAGAGAGAGAGGAGCATAGGGCAAGGCAAGGCAGTGGATTTTCGCAGAGGAAGGGAGGGGCCTGTGCCTGCACCTGTACCTCCGGCCAAACACTAAACATTAATGAATGAAGTGCACCCTCTTCGGGAGACAGGGGGAAAGAAAAGCCCTTAACAAAAACAACAACAGCGTGTTTCATCCTCCTCTCATCCCTCTTTCCCTCCTTCTTTTCATAAGTAGTCTTTTAGCAGGAAAGGGACATTGCCAAATAGAGAGAGGAGGAGAAAAAGACTACAAGAAACAGGGACCCCGTGTTTGAATCCCACTGTGGCTCTGCCAACTTGACTATAGAGAAGCAACAAAGCAGCTAAGTGGCTGGGCATGAAGAGGGGAGTACAGGCAACCGGGGGGATAAAAGGGTGGTAGACGAGCATAGGATGGAGGAAGAGTGAGACAGAAAAAGGGGTAGACCTGCGATTAAAAAAAAAAAAAATCTACCCAGAGTCCAGTAATCAAAGCTAATGGCTCCATTGTGTCTAAAAAGCATCTGATAGCTTTAGAGTGCATTGGGAGCAGTGTTCAGTGTGGAGAGGTAATGCTGAGGAGGTGTGGTCAGTGTGTGTGTGTGAGGTAGCAGGGTTAACACCTGCTCCTTTGTGCCTTAAAAGCTGAGCCAGGAGTTAGTGGCAGACCCAGCACACACACACACACACACACACACACACACACACACACACACACACACACACACACACACACACACACACACACACACACACACACAAGTCCTCTTCTTAAAAGGGTTATTACAGTGGCTTTCTGGCTGCCTGTGTGTTTTTGCTTTATTATTATATTCAGCATAGTTATGATTGTCAGTCCCTTTGCTTACAGGGGCCATGGCCCCTCTGCGTTCACCGCCTGTTGCCTCTCTACAGACTACAATCATGAGCACCACTCAGATGCAGGAAATTACAGGGGGAGTGATAAGAGGTGTGTGAGGGGTGAGGGTGGGGAGGGAGCTAAAAAGTAGCTTGAACAACCAAGTTTGTTTTTTCTTTCTACACCATGCTGCCCTTATAGTAGCCTAAACGAGACTGATGTTGGCTCTAGTGGTTTATAAGGTTTTTAAAGTATACTAAGTGAGTGAGGTTGGGCGAGCAAAGGAGAATTAAAGATATGATCATCTCTTTGTGTCAGAGCTACCTTTGGTGTGTTTTAATGGGAACTTCCTGAGCGTGGGTTACTATAGTCGTTGTTTTGAAGGAAGACAAGTGCAATTAGCTGTAGATGTGTGGTGGAAAATAGTGAGAGAATTGAGAAATTACCTCTGATGGTTTCTTTCCCCCTCTCCTTCTCCTCTTCTTTGCTCTCTCTGCTCGTGCTTTCTCCTTTTCTTCACAGATGAGCGTAGAGGGTGACGATAAGCGAACTCGCACTCGGTCCAAGGGAATCAGAGGTGAGTGTCGGTCACTCAGGCCCAGTCTGCAACAGTTACATTTACAAACACTCCTTCACAGCCAAGCATCTCTTCTGCTTTTTGACAAGCGTGTGGGTTCGTGGACTCAGAATGTATGTTTGTCTGTACACATAAACATGAGTGACAAAGACGGTGAATAAAAAAAGGTCTCTGCGTGTCTTTACTCAGCAGTATGTACACACGCTGCTCTCCAACATCAGAGCTTCTCTGTAGTATTGGATGTAACACGTAACATGTGGAAATGTCTGCCCCAATATTAGCAAAGGCTAATTTGCTCCTCTAAGTAAATCTGTACATGTATGTGGCTACTGATTCCTCAAGTCTCTGCAACTCTTCTTTAAGAATGAACACCGTTCTCCCAAAACATATTTGGTGCTGTAATAACGGTGTTGGAGAGGGCTGTCTTAACACATTGCTCCAAATCCTACCATAGGTGTTCAATTATGTCGACATCTGATAAGACCAGAGCACGATTCTAATCATTTTCATCCTCATTATAAACCATTCAAGTTGAGCCCTCATACCCAATGTATGACCCTTCTCTCTAAGGGCACAAACGAATGAAAGGAAACCTTGTGGCTTTATGTGTACGTGCTAATGCCCACTGAACAGATCAGTAATATCGATGCATTACTTTTGAGTCATAACTCCTAGAATATCTCAAAAACCACAGCCCTTGCTACTCCATATTTTTTTAGTCCACGTGTACGTATGGCTGTGTGTTTATGTGTACAAACACATGTAAATTTAATGTGCACTTGAATGAATGTGTAAATATCCATATTGATATGTGTGAGTTCCTTGGTGTGTTTGCATTTGCATGTGTGTTTGATGTTTAGAAACAAGACAGCAAAGCAACAGTTCACAGGGCGTTCAGAAGGCGTCCAGTCATTCCAACTGCATGATGAAAGACTGAGAAACTACGATGTTGCATGCGCGCACACACACACACACACACACACACACACACACACACACACACACACACACACACAAACAAAAAAACATGTGTGTGTATGCATGTGTGCATGTGTCTTAGTGCTCTTAGTGTATCTTGATACCCAGGCTATTTCTGACATGTGATTAATGCATGTGATATTGGAGGCCAAACTGAATTCTCCAGGATCCTATTGTTTTTTCATTTTGGCTTTAAATGAAAATAGGATATTTCTCCAAAAACTCATTCTATCGCTCAACTCCCAATCGATGCCCACAGCCGGCAAGTGTGCGCGTGCTCTATGGGAGCAGAGCGTGATTTATGTTTTGAAGGCAATTACTATAAGTTGGCCCTGAATGAAGTGCTGTTTTCTCCTGATGAAGGCAGTTTTCCTTTTAATTTCTTTTCCCCAATTATGGTAACTAAAGTGTAACAATTAATCATGTTTTATTGCTGAAGTCTGCATATAACTGTCACTTTTTCTGAACGGTGTTGTGCAGTTTGGCTGATTTAGCCTTTCTGTTTGTGTGTGCGTGCTTTTTTTATGCAGCATGTTTGCTTTACTCTTGTTTGTTTTACATGTAGATGTGTATGTGTGAACCCAGGAGCATGTAGGTGTGTTTTAGGATTTTTCGGAATGTGTGTGTGTCTAAGCCTCTATGAGGAATCCTTCTGGGATTCATATGCATTTGTGATTTATTGATCTGAGTTTCTTTTAGCAGCGCAGCGTTCTGAGCAGTTGTTCACCTTTGTTCCCCCCCCCCCTTTCAGTTCCTATTGAGCTTGTAGGACAAGAGCTGAGGTAAGGAAACACCTTCATCTTTGTGCAAATCCCTTTCATAAAGTTCATTTATATATCCCGCCAAACCCTCACCTCGTATCTCCCCCACCCTGGCACTCATACACTCTCTTTAGATGACGCTGTATATTATTCTTTTCCTATTACTCATTATCAGCACTTCTCAGTTCGTGGTCAGTGCCTCCAACAGGCTGCTATTGATTTCTTGCAGCCTTTTGCTGTTTCCTGCTATGAACACATACAGTACATCCAATGAAAAAGGTGTACGATCTTTTTGCAGTCTGATCAAAGGATGCAGCACAAGAAGAGAGGACTGTGAAGGGCTATTATTTAGTTTTTTCTCCCGCCCTTAGCTCCTCTCCATAGTTTCCCACTCAGGGACCAGCTTTCAGGGTCCACAAAAGCCAGTCATCGCCCTTCCTTGCCCTCCTTCCAAATGATTTTTTCATCCTCTCTCATTTTGTCACACTTCACCTCTGAGCATTGATCTCTACTCAGCACTCCAAAAAAATACTTGTGGTTTTGGGATTAAGAAGAAAAAAAAAAGAGGCCAGAGAGTGGCTGATTTAAAATGCAAATGCAGCATTTTTTAATAAGTGAAATTAATAATAAGGATAATTGGAGTAATAAAGGGCAATTGCTGGGGGAAGTTAATGAGAATTGAAATGAGCCATCCTGAGGGGTCATAGCAACCTGAATCAAAGGAGAGAGAGAGAGAGAAAGAAAATAGAGTGAGCAAGAACTGATGATGATGACTGGTGAAGAGAGCAGAGCAGGGGAAATTACAGCAGGCCTCGGCTGATCCTTATCTCTCACAGTAACAGGATATAGGCCAGGGTTGATGTATGACAGAGAATATTATGTTTTCTCTTGCATGATACCACCTGCATTCATGCATTATGTGTGTCTGGTAGAAGAGTGGGGACACGTGCGTTTGTGTGACACGTGCTCAGATTGCATGTCTGTGCTTCACTTTATTTTGTTTGTCTTAATTGACCTTTTCTTTTTTATTTACTGCCTGTGTTTATCATTGCTACTGCACAGGGACTAAAATGCACCCGTGCCTTAAACATATCTCTAACCTCCATCCATCCCATCCAGCTGCCCCACCCCTGGATGCAATGGCTCAGGCCATATCAGTGGGAGATACTCACGACACAGAAGGTAGGGCAGATTAAAACCCCACCCTCTGTCTCTCTGTCCTTTGTCTCAGTCTTGTCTGTCCTCTCTGTTCTCTGTCCCATATCATCTGCTTTGTGCTTTTATTTGGCATTACTCGCTGTAATACTGAGCGTTAGACGAGAACATCAATGCTACTTTTATATCTGTGCGCTAATTATGAAGCTCAAGCCAGCAGCTGGATTTCTAGCTTAGCATAAAGAATACAGATGAAATGTAAAAAAAAATTTATTAAAAAAGCATAAAGAACAGAATTGAGTGAAATAGCCAGGTTCTAACTATATGTAGCCATGGCTATATCCACCCAAATTCTTCCAAACAGCACTTTGGAACCACAGTTCAAAGTGGTGGTCTTGGGAGACTTTTGTCCTCACCGTGACAACAAGATTCCAAAATCTATCTCCTGGCATAAAACAGTGCTATTCACATTACAGACAAACAAATGATTTCTTGATTAATGAGCTTTAAAGATTCTTATCAACTTAATTACTTATCTTTGGACACAGCCAGGCTAGACGTTTGTTAAGCTGAGGTAAGCTACATCTTTTAGTTTTGTAGTGTTAATAGTATGATGTTACTGAAGTCAAGTCATGAGCAAAATGGTCCTCTTTTGCAGTGCTAATGGAAAAGGATGTAGCAGAGAGTTAGTTGTTTCCATTCAGATCAGAAGAAATCAGGTTCAACAAAAGTGTTTTTGACAAGAGAAAAAGCACAGATTAGAGGGAAGCTGATTGAGGATACGTTTTTCTGCTTTATGTCCACATTTCCTGCTTTTACATCTCCCAGTCATAAAATGAATCTAGTTCTCCCACTCATTACTATCCTTATAATTCCTTCTGATTATTTGTAAAATAAAGATAGAAATAGAAAAAATAGAAAAACCAAATGGTAAACTGCACAGCTTCTTGGGTTCCTCAGCACCATTTCGATTCTTTGTTATTTAAATCGCAGATGGAGACAATGTGAATGACTTTTAAAGATACTTACTGAGTCAGATTGCAAATAGAGCACATTCATTATGTCACATACCAGACTCCCAGAGCATCTAAATCTAAACCTAAGTAATAAACCTTTCAGTGGGCAGTGGTGAAATGTGATTTCTTCAGGTGTTATTCCAGCTTCATTCCCCATCCCTTCATTCATCGTCTGTGTCGTTCGCCCTGGGAGATCCTGGGAGACTCGGGGCAGCTCACTGGCTTGTGACTCGTCTTTATTGAGGGGCAGATATTAGCTATCTGTTTACATGTGTATTTGTTCAGCAGGCAATTTTGAGATGCACTTTGTTTATAGATCGTTCCTCAGACTCCCTCAGCGTCTCCCAGGTGAGCGTAAGAAGGAGTTTATTGGATTTCACCCTCTGCTGCATCGCCCGCCCGCCTCTCCATACGAGTTGTTCATTAAACGTTCCACTCAATTGGCTGAGATTGGTTGTGATATCTGAGTCAGCTAGCATGGCGCCCCCCTCAGGCGTGTTGATTCATACTGGAAAAAGCAGCTCCATCCTGTTTCATGTCAGAAAAAAACCCTGCCTCCTTCTGCTGTGGTTCTGTTAGACGTGTTAGGTTGTTGTTTCACTTATAACCCAGCTTGATTTTCTTAATTTTGTTCTCTCCCTTTTCTTCTTGTCTTCTCCTTTTCCCCCATCACAAGCATTCTGGGTTGCCCAATAGCAAGAAAGCGCCGTCTAGACGAAGCAGAGGCAGAGCAGGAACAAGAACAGGAAACAGAACGGCCTGCCTCCAAGAGGAAGTCCCACCCCCTGAAACTAGCCCTAGATGAAGGTTTCAGTGCAGAGAGTGACGCAAGCAGTGAGGCTGAGGGCGATGGAGAGAAAACAGAAGGAGCCAAGGTAGAAGAGGAAGTGGAGGAGACAGACACAGGTGTGGAGGAGGAGAGAGAGGAAATGACAGAACTCACACAGGACGGACAGACAAACGGTCGGGAGGAGAACACACAACAGAAAGAGGAGGAAGAGACGTATAAGAAGGAGGAGAACTTTGCAGCTGATGAAGGTATGAAACATAGCTTGTTGGTAACAAAGAGGGGTACAGTGAAAATTAACCACAGCATCAAAGGAGCACATATTCATCATGTACTTCAATACTGAAGCAGATTAAGGCCAAGATACCTGACTGTAATTGCTTGATGGGTTAAACTCCCAAATTGGTTGATCGTACGATTCCCACTGGAGTGTCTTTTATTTAGACCCCACTCAGCTTCCTCACTACCTGCTTCTTCATTTGAGTCAGGACTACTATAATCAAGGAAGACTGGTATTTCCATTAGCAGAACTGATATATTTAATTGTATCGCTATGTTGGCTCTAGTCAGTGTTGGGAAAGTTACTTTTAAAATGTATTCCACTACAGATTACAGAATACATGCCCCAAAATGTATTTTGTAACGTATTCCGTTACGTTACTCTCATTGAGTAACGTATTCTGAATACTTTGGATTACTTAATATATTATTATGCTGTTTTACAACTACATGATTGTACTATGCTGTGTGATTTATTACTATTACTGAAGGTTACTCACCATACCAATAGCAACTAGATTTTTAAATGTTAATATAAATGAGTAACAGTAGGTGGACATTAGGTAAGGCTGGACTTTTTGCAGCGATCTCGTATAGAAAACTATTCCTCACTTATATAAAACAGAACCGTAGTAAAGGGACCTCTGGCCAATACGTTGGGTTCCGTTTTGGACCCATAGCCAAAAACTAGCTTTACTTTGTTGTCTGGGTCAACTTTGCTAGCGAGAGACAGAGAGAGGCGTTGAAAGGTTGCTCCAATGGAACTTATTGTTTCGGAGCAAAACATGAACACAGTGTACAGTCAATTCTTAATAGCTTACTTACAGCTGGGCTTGTCAGACACTCTTTTTAGCTGCAGTGGTTATTATTATATTTACATGCTTCCATCTCCCATTTCTGGTCGGTGACAGCTCTACTTTTCCACTCTCCTTTTTCTCCCCAACACTGGCTCTAGTGAGCAGCAGCATCAGCAGATCTCCAGTCCAATAGAGAGCAGGTATCAGAGACAGTAGATGTCACTCTTTACCAATAATCATTTGCCAAACTCTTTGTTTGTATATATTTCAAAATTAGGAACTTCTTGTCTTCTTGTCCATTAGTCCATGAGACTCACTGATTGTGATAGATTATAGCCTTTAGAGAAAAGATGAAATCATGGCCACTAGAAGCACAAGGACTTTGTGAGTGTCTTTCTCTGTCAACAAACTGCTTTACGGCTACAGTTTTGTAACAGTAGGTTCTTTTTATGTCACATATATAAATATACACAGTGAAAGACTTAGCAGGCATAAAAGTGATACAAGTGAAGATAAAGATATTGCTGACAACAGCCTGATGTCACTATGTGACTCATGTTTTCCTCTGTGTCACTGTTCTGACTTCTTCATCTTTACTCCAATAGAGGAGGAGTGTGTGATCATCGAGCCTGAGCTCAGAGCAGCGGTACCTGCAGCTGAGGAGTGTCACTCTCCCTCACAGAGCACCGAGGAGGTGGCCAACTCTCTCCTCCACCTGGGCTGTGTCAACAACAACAATGCTCCAACTGGGGCCATTCAGCAGACTGTTGCTATGGAGACCAAGAAGGATGTCACATTGGCCATTACACAGGGTGAAGAAGTAAAGGAAGAGCAGGAGAAGGACACGAACGAGGGAGAAGAGGAAGATGAGGAGGTGGCACATGGAGTTCAAGCACTGAAGGAGTCATTTGCTCTGCAGCAGGAGGCAGCTGATGTGGAGGATGAGCAAGGGGAGCACGAAGATATGAGCAACCACATGAGCCCACAGCATCTGACTAAAAGGGACCAGTGTGAACAGTTCATAGGTAAAGACAATGAAAAAGAAAAGATAGTAGTGCCAATGCAGCAGAGGCAGGGCACTTCAGCAGATGAGGAGGAGCACAGGGATGTTTTGCCCATTTCTGATGTGCCAACTGCCATCCGCATCATCACCAGCACCGCAGCAGCTCAGGGAACACACAAGGCTGAAGACCACAGGGCCAGTCCTCTGGAGGACTACAACTCATGCGGGGCAAGTCCCTTTGAGAACAGAGCCAGTCCACAAGACAGCTCTCTTAAAGCTAGCTCAATTCAGAACTATAAGGCCAGCCCTCCTTTAAGCTACAGCTCCCACAGGGCCAGTCCACTGGAGGACTACTTTCCCATTCCCAGAGGGGAGAACTACAAAATCCACAAAGCTTCATCCTCAGCCTCTCCTGACATTATCGAGGTACGATCCGATAAGTCGGAGGACAAAGACTTTGACGATGTGGATGGAGATGACGAGCACGATGATGAAGACAGCCTGTCACAGCGCTCGGCAGTGACGGACGAGTCAGAGATGTTCGACATGACCCGAGGGAACCTGGGCCTGCTAGAGCAAGCCATTGCCCTGAAGGCAGAGCAGGTGAAGCCAGCAGGACCCAGAGAGCTGCTCCGCACACCAGATATCCACCACCAGCGGTACTTCACCATGGAGGACAGGCCCAAGCACCTGGACGTCATCCGCAAGAGCTATTTCAGCAAAGGTATGAATTAGTAACCAGGGGAGAACAGAGCTACAACATGTACTGAGAGGGTATTGTGAAAGTTGCCTGAGGGAGACAGCACATCAGCCACATTTAGTCCGTTTCTTTTTATATCTTTGTTTTTTTAAAGCTACATTAGCTGCACATGGTACTGAAATACCATGTTGCAAACTTATTCCTCATCCAACAATGTTTTATAGGTTTACCTGGAAAATTTACATTTTCTCCATTCTATGAAATTTTTCTGAAAACCCCAACAAAACTTGTATGTGATGCACTGAGCACGTCTTCTGCACCCACCTGTTTTTATTCGCCTTAAAAACAGAATGGTCCTGTGTTAGGGGAGTGTTCTTGTAAATCTTGGCATCACTTTGTGTCTGCCCACAGTTCATACAGTGGAAGAGCACCTACATGTCACAGGCTTTAAGTACTTTACTCTGAACAGAGCTGGACTGATAATCTACTGCAGTATGTTTCTCACAGGCTATAATGTGTGCAAAACAGTATGTAATCAAAGTAACTAAGTTTGACTAATACAATTCTTAGTGAAACTAGACCCAGATGTCATTAGCATTTGACAGGAAGAATCAGCTGGCACGTTTTCATCCAGGCCTTAAAAAAAGCCTAATGAACATTTGCTATTTTTGTTTAACCTCTACACAAACCAGCACAAAAAAAAACATCAGAGGCAAGTGCCAGAATTTGACAGTTTTACTTTTGTTAGGTTAGCTAGCTTTAAGGGGGCAGTTGCCCCTGGCTTTATCCTTATATTAAAAATACAGGCCAAAGGTGCTCTTTCATTATTTTCTCTAATACTCTGCAAGACAGCAAGTGCTTTTTTAAATACCACAACAATATCAGAGGAGTACAACCAATAAGGGAGCACACAGAAAATGATGTTCTGAAGTTTTGGCAAATGTGCTAAATGTTATGTTGGGAGCAGAGGGTACAAATAAACACAGTGTACCAAATAAGAGATGAGTCACAGAGCTCTGTTTGGATCCTCCCTTTTCTATTGTAATGGGGTTGAAGTGGTTCCAGCTGAATAGACTTCCATGAAGAGCTGGGAGGAAGTACTTAAAGAGGGAGCGAGAAGGGATGACAGCATGCGAGAGAGCACAGGAGAGACAACAACATATCAACAGAGAAAAAGGAGGAGTGCAGGTTGTTCCACAGTCAGCCATGGAGTGTTTGTTTACATGCTACGTGTGTTCGGGCCTTGTATTACACAGTTGGCACGCTGCCCGCTTGTCATGCTTCTCACAGTATAGCAGCAGTGTGATTACATGCCCGGTAGTGCTGCCCTCTCCTTGGCCTTAACTCCCTCCTGCGGTGACGTTCCTGTTCTGCTCGACGCTAATTAGGAGATGCGTGTCTCGTTAACATTCAATTTGAAGGCCAATAGAGCATCACACCATCCTCTTGCACCCTTCTCCTCTCTCCAGTGCCACTGATACTGCCTGGCCTGCCTCCAATAGGAGAGGGGAGGAGCAGGCATCTTTAATTATGTGTAAATTATACAGTGGTGTGAATTTCTTCTGATGTATTGTAAGGTGCTGCTTTGTCCAAGATCTAAACAAGGTCTTTGAAAGTGTTGTGCAAATGTAGCCATGGGGGGATTATCCAGCTCAACAGGATAAGATGGTGTAGTTTATCATTTTTATAGTATTTTATCTTTAAAAATATTTAAATAAACATTAAGACAAATGCATGGAATACCTGGTGTATTTACAGGCATGCATAAGCCATGAGTCGGGGGATACAGATGGTGTGGGTTTTGTGCAGATGTTGGGAATATGTCTGGATTTCATGCTCAGCCAAGCACACTGTCTGATGACATTAACCACTTGCTTTTGTGCACCTTATTCATCCCACCTTCCCCTTTCCTTTTACTTGGCCTTCCATCTTCCTGTCCTCCTTTCCGTTTTCTTCTACATTCCTACCCAACTCTGACCCAGAGAGCAGCAGGCCAGAGAAGAGGGAGAACAAGTGTCCCACACCGGGATGTGATGGCACTGGTCACGTGACCGGTCTTTACCCCCACCACCGCAGCCTGTCAGGCTGTCCGCACAAGGACAGGATCCCCCCAGAGAGTGAGGTTTTGTTGTTGTTCTTTGTTATTCCAGCTGCTTAGCATAAAAAAATAGTTAAACAGTGTAATTGTTGTGCCATGAGGTTTTTTGAGGTCTCGGGAGCCACCGATTCCATGATTTGGTATATATGTTTGGAAGAAACCAGTCCTTTGATTTGCATCGGTCAAATGCTGTGAAATTCAGTCAAAGAAATGCCCTCAAATACGTAATTTAATTCTAATTTTATTCTATTATTGGGGATTTTGGGGTTATACAGTCTGTGCAGCTGTGTATTCAAATCTATTTTTGCAGGAAGACCAAAAATATTAATATGAGAAATAAAAACAAATTTAATAATAAGCAAATCCCACTTCAGTGATTTTCATTTTCTGAGTTTTCTCTGATCACATGATTGTGCATCTTGTCAGTTCTGGCCATGCATGAAAACGTGCTGAAGTGTCCGACTCCTGGCTGCACAGGTCAGGGCCATGTCAACAGCAACCGCAACACACACCGCAGGTATATTTATATACATTGCACCTTTATACTGTATATCTATATATGAAAGTTGTTTGTGTGTGTGTGTGTGTGTGTGTGTGTGTGTGTGTGTGTGTGTGTGTGTGTGTGTGTGTGTGTGTGTGTGTGTGTGTGTATCTCTGCAGGTTAGAGTGTTGTGCACTTTGTGTATTTGCAAGCTCGTATATTCATGTATGCAGGGCAGCAAATGTGTCAGCCCACATGAGTACTGTGATGTAGATTTACACAGTCAGCAGTATGTACTTGTAATATTCATCTGCTTTGCTTCCTTTATCCCTGCAGTCTTTCTGGTTGTCCCATCGCTGCTGCAGAGAAGCTATCTAAGAGCCACGATAAGCAGCATCTCTCTCAGTCAGGGAGCGAGCACCTCAAAGGAAGTCCCAATGACAGAGTGCTGAGGTGGGTCATCAAAAAAGTACAAACTCATAGTTCAGGTTTTTTCTGCTTTATTACATTACATACTGTAGATATGGAGACCTAATGCCCTCACGAGAGGTCAGTTATACAAACGTGGCAGTTATTGACTTTGGCCAATATCATTACATTGACATGTAAAGATTTTATCTATTTGATAATTTAATTACAAGTTATATGCATAGAAGGGAGCTTTTTGATTCCTATATTAATTAAAATTTTGTAAATAACTGTATTAATGTTGCACAGTTAAGGTTTATGTGGCAAAAAAATTCATGCCTTTTGTCCTTTTCCAAAGCCCATCATAGATGACACAATGAATAGCAGAAACTAAGATAGACTGGGCTCAGTGACCCTTTCACCTACATAAAAGCTGTCTCCTCCAATCCAAACCCCTCACAGCTGAGTCCTTGTCAAGGTTAGCCACTTTACTGCTGAGCCACATTGAAACCGCAGAGAGAATCCTGACCTTGGTTACGGTACCCTGCATGAAAGGTGGAGCCTGGCCTCTGAACGGCTCAATAATAACAAGAAAGTCTTGAAACATCCTGGCTGGCAGGCTAATCATTACTGTCACCTCACATGCTAAGATCTCTTTATCTACATTCATCTCACCCGACCGGCCAGATCCCGGCCAAAAGAATGATAATTAGTGCAAACCAGACACTGGTATTATGCTGTCTGTGCTCTTCCTCATTGGTATTTTAATTAATAATGCAACCGATAAGCTAATTATGCAAGTTATAGGGGCATTGCGGGGGGATAGGAAAAATAATTGCTTTCCTTGAGGAAAACCTCATCAGTGGTTGGACAAAGCATCAAGTATTAAAACATAATAAGGCCTGCTTTGTTTTTTTGTTATAGATTGTTATTCAAATGAGCTTCCTTGCCTCTTATACGTGGAGCTGCAGAATTCTTCGTTTTAATGGAACAATGTTGAATTAATAAAATGGAAAAAAGTCACCTGTGATCAGTTGTAGCTCTGCTTTGCACACTTATTATTAGTGGGCTTCTATGTGATGGCCACCCCAGCTGCAGCAGTATGACTACAGGCCAGGTCTTGTAGACTATTAATGAAAAACACTGAGGAAAGGCTTCGGTGCAGAGGAGAATAAATAGGGCTGGGCCAAAGTGGGTGGAGGGCTTGGATAAGATGGTTAGGGGATGCAAAAAAAAAAAAAATGAGTAAGGTCACTTTGTTCCTCCAGGCTCTATACCCCCAACCTACCCCTCCTCTGTCTCTCCTCTTTCACCACTCCCCCTTCTTTGGTTCCTAGTCTTCTCTTCTCCCCCTTCTCTCTTCTTTCTCACTCCCCACGCCCTTCCACCTCCCCCTGGTCTATCAGTGGATTTACGCCAACAGGTCTGACAAAAGCCCGGGCTCTCCAGAAAACGAGAGGGCTTAAAGCTCATAAATTCCGTGCTGTACAACATGCAAATGTGCCCTCTGCTGATAAGAGAGCTTTTAATCCTGCTGCACTCCCGCTAAGTACACCATTGCTCCTGTCTTCACTCTTTCTGTTTCATTCTACCTTTTTCTCTCATTCTTTTATTCTCTTTTTCTTCCCCCGTTTTGCTTTTATGTGTGTGTGTCTTTTTATTGCATCAATCCTCTTTTTATTTCTCATCTCTTGTTTCTGCTTTTATTTTTGTCTTTAATCCCCAGCCCCACCCTGACGTCCTCTCCCTCTCCCCCCTGCAGACCCATGTGTTTTGTGAAGCAGCTAGAGGTGCCCCAGTATGGGAGCTACAGGCCCAACATGGCACCTTCCACACCTCGCGCCAACTTGGCCAAGGAGCTGGAGAAGTACTCCAAGGTGTCCTTCGATTATGCAAGCTTCGATGCTCAAGTGTTCGGGAAGCGCACGCTTGCTCCAAAGATGCCCACCAGCGAAACCTCACCTAAAGCCTTCAAAAGTAAGAGGGAACCTCGGGCTTCTTCTCTGTCGTGCATATTTATTTATTTGTTTTTCTATAAGGCAAACCTGTGGCTAGGTTACAGCAGCCGGATTCACTGTGAGTTAGAGTCTTTGGTCAAAGCCATGTGAGCCACACAGAAAACTGAAGATCTGGGCCACGTTATTTACTAACCATTCACTCATTGCTATGTGAGATAGTGTGATATGTTCATTTGTGCTAATTCTTGCTCTCAGTGTTGGCCTTTCTAAGGCTCTTGAAAATGTTACTCCAGCATGGCTCTTTGGCTGACTTTCATTCTTCAAAATGAGTGAAAAGAAGAGAGAGACAAATGTTCAAATTTCAGTTATTGTTTCACTCAGTTTGCCATTTCTGTCCTGTCTGCATGCATAGCAGTGGCTGTGACTCAGTGGTGTGCAGTGACTTTTACAGAAAGGCAAGCAGAGACAATTGCCACACACAAACGAAAACATCTTCCTCTGCTATTTAACTTTATAACAAGATAAATTGGATCAGATTAAAATGTGCCATTTGTGCTCTCTGTCTGCACTCTGCGTGGACGTATTCTGCACTCCTTCATGGCTGAAGAATGGTAGCTGAATAAATATCTGCTGTTTTACCAAATGAAAATGACAAGTGGTGGATACTCCTTTAAGAAAAGAAGCAATGAAACCCAGTGAACGCACCTCAGTACACATAAAACTGCATTATTGGAAAACTGTGCATGAAGTAGCAAATTAAAAGATTATTATTCTGCAGAAAAATGTTCCTCGTCAGTATTGGATGGTTTAATATTACTTCTGCATATTTTTAAGGTTGAGCTCATTTTAAGTACTTTTATCTGTTTAATGTCTGACATCATATTCTATAAATCATATGTTTGTATTGGCTGTCCTGTGAGGAAGATGTATTTCTGAAAAATACAGAAATGTAAGATGATTGATTGATTGATTGATTGATCTTTATTTAATATATATTGAAATATATTAATTTTAAAAAATCAGCTAAATTAAAAAGCTTCAGCAGTGTGGGGCAGAAAATAATCATGAAAAATGATGGTAGAGTGTTAGCAAAATACAAAGGTTCTCTTGAGCGCACATATTTTTTCAATCCCCTTTTGTTTTAGTACTTTCCCAGAATATCAGCCAATTTGGGATTTGTGCCTTTGTCCCCCTGCAGCTAAGCCGTCATTCCCCAAGTCATCATCACCTAGTCTCAGCCTCCACGGTTATGGGAAAAGCTCCTCATTGGCCTACGACTACGCCCATGATGCCGAAGCTGCTCACATGGCTGCCACTGCCATCCTTAACCTGTCTACTCGCTGCTGGGAGAAACCTGAGAACCTTAGCACCAAACCCCAAAACAAGGTAAACCCACCATTTTTTCAAATGTTTTTTTCCCAGTCATTATAAAGGAGCACAGTTGGAATGAAAACAGCACAGTCGGTTTCATCATCACTTGGTAGTTCTTCGATGATCAAAAATGTACTCAATTTGAAGGGAGTCAAGTACAGATGGTTTTACTGCCGTAAAGTACTGCCTTGTTCTTCTCTGCAAAACACTTAGAGAAAGATTTTATTATCTGATTGTAGTGCAGATGAAACATTGCAGGCCACAGCTGGTAAGATGAGAGGAGATAGCAGTGGGTGTGCCTTTTCCACCCCTCTTCTCTCCTCTCCTCTCGCTCATTTTTTTCCTCCATCAACTCTGCATGAATATATCATCAGGAGGCATTGGTTTACAGCAACAGGATGGTGTTGAGATTCAGTTGCATCACCTCTCCCATCCTCTTTCATCGTTTCATCCCTCCATCCCACACACTTTTCATGTTGTTATTGAATTTGGCTGACTGCCAGTTGCCTGGATTACTTTTCCACCAGGTAGCCTTTTTTCATTATCTGCTGGACGGATCTCCCACTCTCTTTCTATCATTTTCTTTCTCACATGTCCTTTTACCCTCTTTCTCTCTTCCTCCCTAAGCAAGCCTCCCTGTTCCTCGCTCGTTCCCTATCTCCCTCACTTCCTTTCTCTTTTCTGTGCACAGGAGGTGTAATAGGAGCTCCACTTTCCCCCATATTGTGATTTTTAAAAGCCTTTTTGCCTCACAGAGGAGAGAAAGTGACTGCTTCATCATTTTTCGATTTCTGACATGCTTTTAGGAAGATAAAAAGTGAAAATTAATGTCTCTGGCAGCAAAGCAGAGCAAGGTGTTCAGCAAGGCACAGATCCAAGAGCATGCCTTAGCTGCGCAGATCAACTGGGGACTGATCTGGAATCAGAGTTGGAGCCAGTTGAAATCCAATATTGAAACACTGGAACACTGAGCTCATCAACCTGGGACATTTCTGGGAACTGTTCCCATTTTCTCTCCTCTTCTCCTAACCCTTTGAATTTTCTGGCCCTTGACCAGCCCATATGAGCACCATTTTACATGAATGCTGAAAACATTGCTCTTTTCACCCTTCTGTTTCTCTTCACCTGCCAGAACTATAATAAAGCATGGAGAGATGGAGCACAGTGTTCGTGCTGTTGGCACCAGAGTACATTAGATATCATGACTAACATGCTTAGGCGATGAGGCTGGTGTTCTGAACTTGAGTGTGTAGTGCTCTGAAAGAGGCCGTCACTCTGGTGCATGACTGTGAAAATGCTTGTTTGATACAGGCTCGAGGGCAGTTTTACAAGCAGGTAGAGAAGTGAAAGCAACATTTCTCCACATGAAAGTTCAGTTTTTATTTAGAATATATGAAATTAGAATTCAGGCAGATATGTAGCGCTGCATCAGAATCTGCTCAAGAGGGTAATTAAAATAATCCCAATCATCATCACACAGGACTGCCTCACATATACAGTGAAGTGCACCAGAGGAGACTGCATTAGTTATTCACATTTGAGAATACTTAATTAGATGTATTAGTTAGCTGTGTTTCTCCATTAATTTTCTCCCAGATTATGCACTGAGCTCCAAAGTTTTTAACGGGAAATAAAGCATAATTGCATTCATATACAGAGTGAGCTGCAATAAAAACAAATATATTTTAAAACTCAAGTTTCAAACAGGGCAAAAGTTTCAAATAATGACATGAATGTGTGTAAGACTAAGTTCTGTATGCCCAAAGCTCAATTAAATTCTACTGTAATGGTATCTCAGTGCAGATTTCAGCAGACTATTTCGTGTGTAGTATACCCTCAAAGTGGGCATATAGGGATATTATTAATCATTTTTCATTAGGTACTTCACTGTCACTTGTCTAAAATTATTTATTTGTTGAAGTCTCAAATTGGGGCTCAACTGAAAATTACAAGGATACTTATAAGCAGGTAATAACATAGGCTAAGCTATAAATTCCTGTTGCATTGTCTCCAGGAAATGGACATTGAAGTGGATGAGAACGGCACCCTGGACCTGAGCATGAAAAAACCCATTAAACGAGAGGGAAGTCTGTCTGGGACGAGCCCCGGCGTTCGGTCTCCAGACCCTTCCTCCTCCTCTTCCTCACTGCATCATGGTGGAAACAGCGGGATGACATCACCAAGCATACACACCTACAAGCAGGAGGACTGGGAGGGACCTCTGGATTACACCAAACCTAACCGTCAAAGAGAGGAGGAAATGGACGAGGTCAGTACAATTAGACAGAACAAAAGTACGAGCTCCAAACACGGTGTATTTCCTCAGATGTTACTCACAGAGGAGATATTGCGACATAAATAACAACAGACAAAATTCCCCCTAAGCCTTTTGAATGAAAACTCTTAATTGTTTACATCACTTTGTCTTTGTGTAATTCCCTTTTCTTATTCCCTGTTCCCTTTTCCTCTTTGTATTATTCATTTATTTCACTGAAATGTGAGAGTTACTGTACAGTTAAAACATTGCACTGTGTAACAGAGGTAGTGTGTCAGGTGCATTGCACCATCCTGGATTTGGCATATGCTAATTTTTACTCCTTTGAACTTTTTCAAAAGAAATATAAAGGGCCTTGAATGTTAATTTTTTATGAGGACACTCTGCATTTGGAAACATCACTTGTCTGCAAAAGAATAAAAGAGGATTGTGTGCACATGGTGTTTGCAAAGTTTCTTTGCTTGCATTCAGATATACAATAGCAAACTATTACCTGGAAGCAGATATTTAAAAAACTAAATTCAGATAATAGGTCAAGCCACAATTTAAAGAGCAAAAGGCCTGCAGTGGATTTACCAGTGTGTTAATCACGTTTCAGCTGGAGCATACCGGCCAGTCGTACGTCTCATCCGAACCAGAGGACTGTGACATGATGCAGGATTGCCTAGAGGAGAGGAAATACCCAGGAGAGGTCACAACCCCAAGCTTCAAGGTCAAATTTCAGCCCAAAGATAGCAAGAAGGAGTTGCTCTCGTAAGTAATAAGGCAATGAGTTAGAAGTCATTCTTATATCCTGATGGGTAACAAGATTATATGTGGTCAAAGCAGCTTGCAAAGAAAGGCGTCTGGACTTCTTTAAGTTGCTTGAAGACGTTTCACCTCTCATCCGAGAAGCTTCTTCAGTTCTAAGGTCAAATGGTGGAGAGTCCCAGATATAAACCTAGTGGGAGTAACCCCCCACAGAGGGACAAAAGGACCCCCTGATGATCCTCTAATCGCCTGAGCCAAGGTGTGAAACTGGGCGTGGGTCCCAATCAGCCAGAGTTTCGGGTGAGTTCATTGTGAAACCTGGCCCCACCTTATCATGCGAATTCCTGAGGTCAGATGGCCCAGTGGGCGTTAAGGCGTCTGGGAAGGGATCTCAAAACTGGATTATAGATGGCAGAGAGTTGGTGTCGTAAACCCCCGCCTCTGTTCAAAGATGGTCGCTCACAGTGGACATAGATGGCTTCTTTCACTTCTCTTTCAAACCATCTGTCCTCTCTGTCCAAAATGTGAACATTGGCATCCTCGAAAGAGTGTCCTTTATCCTTAAGATGCAGATGGACTGCTGAGTCTTGTCCTGTGGAGGTGGCTCTTCTGTGTTGTGCCATGCGCTTGTGAAGTGCCTGTTTGGTCTCTCCAATGTAGAGGTCTGGGCATTCCTCGCTGCACTGTACAGCATACACCACATTGTTAAGTCTGTGTTTTGGCGTTTTGTCTTTCGGGTGAACCAGTTTTTGTCTGAGCGTGTTGCTGGGTCTGAAATGCACTGGGATGTCGTGCTTGGAGAAAACTCTCCTGAGTTTTTCTGATACACCGGCTACATAGGGGATGACAATGTTGTTGCGTCTGTCCTTCTTATCCTCCCTCGCTGGTGTCTGATCTTCTTTTCTGTGCCTCTTTGCTGACTTTAAGAACGCCCATTTAGGATAGCCGCACGTTTTGAATGCTTCCTTTACATGTGTGCGTTCCTTCTTTTTTCCTTCAGGCTTAGAGGGAACATGTTCTGCCCGGTGGTGTAGGGTCCTAATTACTCCAAGTTTGTGTTCCAGAGGGTGATGGGAGTCAAAGAGGAGGTACTGGTCCGTGTGTGTGGGCTTCCGGTAAACTTCGATGTTGAGGTTGCCATTCTCTTCAATGTGCACAGCGCAGTCCAGGAAAGGCAAACAGTTGTCCTTTGTGTCTTCCCTGGTGAACTTGATGTTTTTATCCACAGAGTTAATGTGCGCAGTGAAGGATTCCACTTCTTGTGTCTTGATTTTGACCCAGGTGCTTTTCTTTGCAAGCTCCTTTGACTACGATGACCTGGATGACTGAGAACCTTCACAGACATAAGATTATATGTGCTTAATTACATCAACCCAGGTTAAGAAATAATCATAAAAAACTAATTTAAAGGAAATAGAAGAAGAAGATTTTATTAGACATGATGTTGAGATTTGGCTAAAAAATGAAAAAGTTTTCTCTTTATGTTAGTAGAGGGAATCGATACATACCCAACAATATCATAATATCTCAACTGAACTCAAGGTTAATTCAATTCAATTCAATTCACTTTTATTTATACGACAACAGTCACCTCAAGGTGCTTTACATTGTAAAGTACCCTACTTTAATACATACAGAGGAAAAAACCCAACAATCATTAGATCCCCTATGAGCAAGCACTTTGGTGACAGTGGGAAGGAAAAACTCCCTTTTAACAGGAAGAAACCTCTGGCAGAATCAGGCTCAGGGAGGGGCGGGGCCATCTGCTGCAAACGGTTGGGGAGAGAGAAGGGAGACAGGATGAAATACATGCTCTGAAAGAGAGCCACAGATTAATAACAAGTATGATTCAATGCAGAGAGGTCTATTAAAACATAGTGAGTGAGAAAGGTGAGGAAAAAATACTCAATGCATCATAATTGCAGCATTACTAAGGGAGGAGTCAGGGTTCAGTTACAGTATTACTGTGATTTTTAACATTTTGCATCCTGATTACTGCAATAACATATACTGTAATTTATCACCTTTTTAAAACTACAAAATATTCCCTCAAATTTACACTTTGTCAATATCTGTTTTATTGAATATGTTTTTTCTTTTTGCAGCAAAACAACACTGTCACTAAAACCTGCCATAAATTGTTATAAGAGTCAGTCTGCTATCAATCTGCTACCAGTTTGCAGTTGAATGAGGTCAAGTTGGCAATTACATGAAATCTGTTTTTGATAAAACAGCAATTAACTGTGATAAATCACATATCCATTTGCTGTCTAGATAGACAGAAATTCACATTTAACTGTAACGTTTCTGTTTCATAGGAATATAAGCAGAACAAAACCAGAGTTGAGGCCCCTCGCGTTGTGTTCATTGACAGACTCATTCAGACTGATGGCAACATGCTGGCAATCTGTCTGAATTTATAAATGTATACATTTAATAGCAGTTATTTGCAAATCTTTGACAATCTCTCTGAGAGTGATTGCAGACTGCTTGTAGAAATGTAGCCTCCTATCAGGCAACCTGTGCAATCCAATCACCTTGCAATCAACACCCTCAAGCCATCACTATGAGTTGCAACTGATCACCAAATGTGACAAAATTCACTATAGTCACAAGTCACTGATCTTTTTTGTAGATGCACAAAGGTTGATGTTGTATTTTTTACTCGTGTGACTAAAACCATAAACTTGCACTTCGTTATGAGGTAGCTTTGTCAAGCTAAGTGGTGGTTTTCGGTTTTAACATATCTTCACATTTAATCAGCACTCTTGTTCATAGTGCTCCCATGGTATTTTAATTAATTTCATAAAAAATATCAATGTTTAGTGTTCCTATATCGATACTGTGCTGTAGTGATTTTTTTGCCATCCCTACAGTTCAGTACAAAGATCAGTGAAAAGGGATGTAGAAAAAGACATCCTTTTAGTTCTAAATAAAAGTTAAAGAAGAGATTTCTGTTGACTAGCAGAACTTTCTCATGTTGAGCCAGTAATACTCACCACTATACCACCGTTCTGACTGTCCAGAGACTCGCACAAAAAAACTTGCAAAAAAAAAAAATATATATATATACATATATATATAAAACACCCAGCACGCCCCTGCGGGCGGTTTATCCTTCAAGCTC